TCTTCTACCACTGTTTAAAGAGGTCCACTGATTGAGGATACTAATGCTACAATTAGGGACAAAAGTAGTTGACACACTTATTTGAAACGGGTGCTTTTATCAAACATTTAATTCATGTATTATTTCATTCCTTTTAAACGATGTAAATCTCCTCACCCCCTGAATCAATGTTGTCTGAAGTAAAAGAAAGACTTGAGGGTCCAAAACACAACATTGATTTTGGGGGGAAGGGGTTGGGGTAGACAGGGGAAGGGGATAGGGTATGTCCACTATGCAAAAAGGGGCCATTTTACGGAAGTGTCAACACTTTTGTCCCTCATCGTAGAATGCTAACCCTTTGTCAGAAAAACTCTGAACCACTGAGAACATTTGAAAGCCTTTAACACAGAGGCCAATAACAAGGCATAATAACACTTCACTTGATCCAGTCCATCACCTGTGCACAAAACTTTCCACAGAAAATAATTCCTTTATTTTAACTACCGGATTTATACACTTAAGCTTAGATCCTTTTAACGACCAACATTTAAACAAAATATTTTTTCTGAACCAATGTTCGGCTAATAAGATCACTTTGCCCTCGGTGTATGGCTTATATTCTTCACATGAGTAAACTATTTGATAAGGATACTGTTCCTCGAGAATCATCTTTTCGATCAATGCTCTACTTTTATCATCAGTAGAAGGATCTAAGGACCAGACCTGACACATCAAAAAATTATGTTAAATATGAAATATGAGTTTAATCGAAGCACGGCTCTCGAACTGATAAAAACAGCTGTTAATTGTACACTCACCGTGTTGGTATCAAAAAGCCATGAATTGGTATCGCAGTAATCAGATGAAAATGGGCTTCTTGAAGAGTTTAGAAAACTGTGATTGCCAATATCTTTATCATACCTACAAGTAAAAAACAGATCAAAAGGTGGCACCTTGAAACAAAGATAAACAAGCATATTAAGCATAATATAAAGAATTGTTCGACTCAAAATGGCCTTTTATCAGCCGGTTATCCCAATGAGCTTTAATATAAGATCATAATTTTAACTTTCCAAGTGCCCTAAGACGAAAAAAAAAGGTAAAGACTAGAGAACAATCATCTACAAACCAGCTTTCTTTTTGATCATCTTCAACCACGTTTCGTAAGTTAGATATGTGTTCGCCGTCGGAAATGTCTTCCACATCAATTTCATCTTCCGATTCCGCCATCTTGAATGCCCAACAAAAGACTGGAACGAGGGGTATGGGGGTCGGGATCGTCAGGGGAGACTTGGGGAGGGATAGAGCCAGGATAAGCCTGAGAACAATATAGCTACACTTGTAAATTACACGTGTAAAAGTTTTATTAAATTGACCCCAGGTAAGAGAAAACCTCTGTTACTTAACCAAAAAAAGGAAAGAAGGAGAACTTTAGACGAGAGAAATGACTAGTGCCATCGAAAGAATAATCAACTACTCGAAGTATCCAATCACCGAACAAAATAGCGTCATTCTTGTAGAAGTTATCAAGCGTGCGCGACACGAGTTGAACGAGAAAGGGATAGCCTTGCTTCCGGACTTTATGCTTTCATCTGCCCTAAAAGAAACAATCACAGACACCGAGCAGGTTTTACCCAAAGCATTCCGTGGAATAAGCGACCATAACGTCTACTTAGAAGATTGTAAGGAGGAAAAATTGGAACCGAATCGCCCGAGCAAAATCATTTCTCGCTCTTCGAAATCATGCGTGACTCACGACCAGATAAAGGCAAGCACGCCATTAAACAAGCTCTACATGTCACAGGCGATGACTGATTTTGTTCGACTTTTACTGCAAAGGGAGGTGCTTTATCGCACAGCCGATCCTTTAGGAGCATTAAATGTGCACGTGTACAAAGAAAGGGACCAACTCAACTGGCACTTTGATCGTGGCGAATTTGCAGTCACTCTTCTTCTACAATCACCTGAAGGAGGTGGACATTTCCAATACATTCCCTCGACAAGGTAGATTATATTAAGGCCACTGAATGATGTAGGAGAAGAACGGGGCTGCTTAAGGTAGACAACCTTTCTTCGTTCTTTTACATCAGAACTATAAAGCAAGAATTAACTCTACTCTTAAAGGCATCAGCAGCGTTACCTTGCGAGAAACGTGATTTATTCGCAGGCCTGTTTACATGGAGGCGGGGGAGCCCACATAGGTGTGGTAACATGAGGGGTGTCACCCTACCTATCAGGTAAACGTGATCAAATAAAAATGAGAGATTATATGGACAGGCGGGTTACCCCACCGAAGCGGGTTACCTCACCTAGCTGGGGTCCCCCACCTCCATGTAGACAGGCCCTTAGTTTCTTCCGTAGCTTGCCTCAGTCCTCCGCAGGGCCTTTTTGCCATAAGGAGACTGGAGCCGCGTGAAGAAGAAAGCGCAAAGGGAAAAATGGGAAGGGTAAAGAAGAAATGGCTGCCTTCCTTCCTTCTGCCCTAAAATGATGGGCAGATTTAGTAAAGAACGACAACGCCCGTCAAATTAGAACTCGACAGCGCGGAATGAACTGAACGCGTGGACTTCCTGTGAACAATTAGCTCGATATGTAGCTCTTAGCGTCTTAGATCTGCGCGCGGCGTCATCCCGGTCGTCTCGTTTTCTTTGCTAAATCTACCTGATCTATCAAAGGCGCCGCATTATATCCTGTTTTGCGTTCGCTTGGAATATGGCAAAGATTTGAAGCACTGTATCGTTTCGAGCAAGGTCATCTCCCTCTCCCTCGACATCTCCACGATAGAATGGCATGGACTTCAAACCCTCACACGAGTTAAAACCACGTATCTAGGCACTAAGGATCCCGTCACGGTTAACGGAGGCTCTGGGAACGAAACTGAGGATGCAACGTAAACAAGTTCGGGAGATGACTTACAGTGTTGCGTTTGCTGCATAGTAAAAGTGCCTTACCTCATGATCACTGTCGATCCTTCCGGAGTCTTGAACGTTTAACGTCCATGTGTAGTACATTTGGGTCTTTCGCTGACTTTGTGACGAATTGTAATTAACTCTCTCTCTCTAACTGCAAGAGGTTAATCAATCTATGGCTACAGGGTAATGGGCTCCAGATGGCAGTGTAGTCTAGGAACACACAGTCGCGGGAGTTGCGTGTGAATCTTGGTCTCCCGCGATTCTTGAGTGGCAAGGGATACACAGAGCGTTTCCTCCTAAGTATGCACTGCTTGTGATTTTTCTCGTTTTGATACCGTTTTACGCGCGTTAGGAGAGAGACTCGGCCCTCAGCCCACTGCCCAACGTAGAGGACCAGAGGATTACGCGGATCTATGTAGTTTTCTGGGAAACTGCCCACCTACCCCTCCCTTAAGCCAACATTGACACTTACTGCTCACTTGGGGCAAAATGTTGGCTCGATTTCCTGGTCTCCTCCCTTCGACCAGTTTAGCATGGATGGCCCTGTTAGGTACACAAGACTACTCCAGCCGACATAGCTAAATGGGTTTTAGTCATGGAGACTCCCAAACCGCCTCAAAACGATAAGGTGCTGATCCGATTGAGGCATTTGCTGTTATACTAATGGCGATACTAATTTATTTTGCCGTTTATCGATCTCTCTTTAGATCCCCGGGAAATGAAAACTACGACCTGGTTAGGCAAGTGTTACTGGCCTCTCAAGCTGGAAAAGATCTAAGCGATCTTGGCGTAAAACAGGCCGATCTTCAGCCAGGCACCCTCGTGATATTTTGTGGCCGCCATTCCATGCATCGCGTGACACCAGTGCAAGGCAGTAAGTCACGCATTCTTGCCGTGCTGTCTTATGAACAGAAACCTGACGTATACTT